AATGTGATGCATCAGAGACAGAAACTGGAGTGTCTGTGAACTTGAGCCATTTAGAGGAATCCTTTATAAGGCCTGTTGGAAACAGCTAACACTCTGATCACGTTAAGTCTCTTAAGTGAATTCGTTGCCTGAGACTGAGTTTACTGCAGTAACAAATCTTCAAAACTGGCTTCTTTTGAAGTGAGACATGCAAATTTGAAGTGGTCGTAGTGTTTTTCCAAGTGAAACTTTAGTCAAAGGTGAGCTACGGAAACTCTTGTTATATTTTCTTGACGAGCAGAGGCCACACCGCAGCTGCCAAATCCGGGGATTGGACTCCTTGGATTTACTGTTGCCTGGTTAATCTCATTACAAGCATGAATTAAAGGGAAAAATTGCTGACAACTTAGATGGAGCCCTGAGGAGGTCATATCAGACAAGACAGAAGTATTGTCTAGCCTTTCCTAATCCCCTCACAAAACACACATGAGCTAAAGCCATGCAAATACTGTCAGTTGCATGAAGCAGATTAGATTTCGTGACAATAAGTGCCGAGTTGCAGATATCACTAGTTTAAGAAATGCTTGTGGTCATAAACTCACAAGACAAAGTGTTGATTGAAAGGATGAGTGTTAATTTATATGTGCAAATGCAAAAAATATGCAAGAAGCCAATCCGGAAATACTCAGGTAGCGCTATATGCAGAATCTGGGCTAGTTATCATGTTAATTATTCGGATTTCAAGGTTGTCCTTTAATCATATTGGCCTTTAGATTATCTACATATGTAAAAAAATGAAGCATGACAATATTTAGCATAGAAAGTTTTGCAGTTTTGTATTTTTTGTGGGTTTTAGAGATTTTAAGTTTGCGTCTACATTTTCTATAATACTGTAACAGTAACTTTACTCATATATGGCACTTTTACAAAATGCATTGGCAGAAAAGCAAAAGCAGAACGGCAAATTCCAATAGAAAGCTGGACATTAAAAACAGGATAAAACTAAACATAAGACAGGACGTCCTATAACATCACTGAGTTTGTGACAATTAAAGACATAAAACTGTACAGAGAAAACCAAAGAGTGTAAAATACTGAAAGAGGATGTTTTCATCCACCTACCTTTAGGTTCACACTGCTGAGCAGAGATTGAAGATGCCGGTGTCTCAATTCCAGAAAAATGAAAAAGCCAATAAACTAAAATCAAGTTAAAAATGTTCCCCAAAAAGTTTTTGGCGAGCTCACAGTTCTTCGTCTTTCCCTCTTTCACGTCCAACTAAATGGCCTCCTAGGACTTCTGGCCAAGTGGTTTGAGTTCAGTCTGCTGCCAGCTAACTGCCTTAACTAAAAAAGACCTGTTAAATACTGATTCATTTCATCTCCATTAGCTGGCCTTATCTCCTGTTTTAAGCCCTCCCTGCCCTGACATCACTATGATCTCCCATCCAACTGCTTGCTGCACCTTGCAACTGATGTGTAATTACTGAAGCAGCACTGGCCCTAAGCATGGAGTGCTAAACCTCTTTCAACGTTCACCTCACTAATCCCTTGTTAGCACTTTAGGCCATAGTTAAGACACCTAAATGCTTAGCTTCCTTTTCCAGTAGTTAAGTGACCAACCCGTCCTTAGCTGCTCTGTGGCCACCTGCAGGGAAACTGCATGGCGCAGGTTGCAGACCTCCTACTGCTCTAGTTTTTGTTGTTTGTTCACATGTCTAGTTTGAATGTCAGAAGTATTGCTCTCCACAGGGTGCCAAAGGGCTGACCCAAACATGCTTGGTGGTAATTTGGCAGAAATCCGACTAAATGTTGGCCAGATCATCCTCTCAGACCTCTTAATCTGACAGTTTGTGCTCACCAGCCGCTTACAGCATAGAGCTGCACTTCTAGGAATGATGTTTTCCTTAATGCCTGGGGTTTGTGGGGGGTGGAGGGACACAGGTGGTGGGTTGGTAGGACATTTTAAATGGAGTGGGACAGTTTGGTGTGTATCTCTTTGCAAGGAAGCAATGAGCCTCCAGAGAGCTGAGCACTCTGACTGCTCATCATATACATGCCAAATACATCAGTTAAAGGGGTAAAGGGAAAAGTAGAGACTTTTAACTATTTATTTTTATATACAGTGGACCAAATATGTTAGAATCCACCACCAATGAGATGTTACTAATGTGTTAGGTTTTTATTTTTTAATGTAAACTCACATTTAACGGTGCTAAATCAACCAAATTCCCATGAAATACTGCAGAGGTCACATCAGTGTAAGTGCTTCTCAGAAGTGATTGCACTGCACTATAAACCCTGATTGTAACGGCATTACAAGTTTTTAAAAAATACAATTTAAGTGATTTAACATCAGTTTAACATGTGACAATTCTTCATTTTCCTTGTAAAGGAAGGTTTCTTCCAGAGAATTTACTTCATCCTACCATAGGTGTGACCAACAATCTCAGCCGTGGGCAAAAGATGGCACCCAGTTTTATTTACATGGTGCATCAGTGGTTCTGTGTCACTCCACAGCAGCAGTACTAATCAGTATAACACTCAAACTGCATATAATACTTCCTCTGTGGAGTTTGCATGTTCTCCCTGTGCCTGCGTGGGCACCAGGAGAACTCTGTGGTTACTCTAGCTATCTCCTACAGTCCAAAGATATGCATGTTACATCAGCTGGTTATTCTAAATTAACCGTAGGTGTAAATGTGAGCATGCATAATTATCTGAGTATTGTTATCTGAGCTCTGCGATAGACTCGTGAACCTGTCCTGGGTGTATCGCACCTTTCTTTCAGGGTTAGCCAGAGTACTCAGGGTTGTCTTTAAACTTTTTTATCTGCTTTAAATACTATAACATGGACTAGCCCATTGTTTTTATGCAGATGACACCCAAATTTATTTTTTATTTATTGTTTTTATTGTTTTCCTGCTTTGTACAGCACTTTGTCAAACCCTGTTGTTTTTTAAAAGGACCATATAAATACAATTAGATTCAATAAAATATTTAAAAAATAAAAAAATGCAACATATTGTTTTATACGTCATTTTAGGTGATAAAATACACTAAACTAAGAGTATCAGATGAACCAGCTGAAGTAACATTATTTAGTATTCCTATGTTTCTTTTTATTGGTTCAGCATATTTCTTGTGTGTTTAAGCAGTGATTTGGGAGACAACTAAGTTTTTTTTTTTAATAAAAACAACAGCATTAATAAAGGACTTAAGAATTAAGAGAACAAAGCATTAGGACATCTAAACCGCCAATTGAGGAATGTCCTGGGGGTAAGCTTTTTATAAGGGATTTCTGTCCAAGTTGCTTGCACCCAGTATTATGGAGTCACAGTGAGGCAAAGGGATCAGAGCAGGTTTAACCTCAAGAAAGGGGTCTGGCTATAAATTCACTGGGTCAGTACAGACACCATCCATCTTCTAATTACAGCAACAATCTGGTGTCCAGATCACCTGTATTTCCTGCCTTCTTCTCCACACCAAATGACGACTGTACCGAAGCCGTAATCCCTCTAAGTTGGAAGCATTACGTCTTTTGTGGCTGGTGGAAATCTTGTTTAGGTCTTGATTACTGTGAGATAATGGATATTAGGATTCTTCAGGATCAAGATTCCCTGAAATAACAGTTTGTGTTGGAGTTCCTGAACAAAAACTGTGAAGATGTGCTGATTTTATACATTTTAACTTAAACACTGAATCCAAAAAAAGATATTGTTGTGTGTCTGACTGGAGGAAACATGAAAAAGGTTTAAATTATTTTATCTTATCTGGAGGTTAAAGTTAGTTTTGTGTGTGACACATCAGGTATGTTGTGTCAAGGCTATCGGCAAAAATAGGTCTCTTCACATGTACACTAGAAAACTGTGTTGTTCTGCTATGACAAATTACATGAAGTTAAAAAAATCGGTAGATTTAAAAAATAAAAATAAAACCGATTCGTGGTTTTGTGTTAATAGAACCTGACAAATAACTGATTTCTAAGACTGAAACCAACACCGATATTTAACAATCCGATATATTGGCCTTTTTTATTTCTTTCAGAGATCCGAAACATAAAACGATTTCCATAAAATTTGTTGCATGCAATTATACCACAAGTCATGGATTACCCATAATGCTCTACCAGACTGCTCAGATCAGCTGATTGTTGTAGTTTGTGAAATTTCAAAAGCAGGAAAGTTGCACAGCGCCCTCTGGTGGACCAACTTTGCGACACTGATATTCCTAACATGGCTGAAGGGTGTTTCTCCTGTCTCTTCTTTACTTTTTCAGTTTTTCATTTATTGGTCATTATAAATATCGATACCTATGTATCAGCTGATATATCACTGCCAGCAACATATTTGTGGGCTTCTTCTGCTATAAACTGTGGGCAGTAAATGTTAAAGAGATCATCAGGATAATTCCTTATAAGTTACGTACTTGTAACTCAGTGGGACGCTCCTTCTCACTTGGGAAAGCCACTGCTCCGAAGAATTCTGTTTACAAATGAAATTATCACAAGTGATTTTTTTCTCTGAAAATGTTTTAGCAGTTAAGATGTATTTATGAATATTTTTGTTTTTATTGCATTGAAAAAAGGTTTTGTATTATATAATAATGATGAATGATGACTTGTTATCATTAAGTTATGATTAATCAGTAAGAGCACCTGCTGTTTTCAGACAATCCTTTGCAGTCCTCTTATCTCCTCTGCACACCAGTTCCAGCCACTAGATGGGGCACACTCAAGCAAAGGAAACCATCTTATTTTATACATAATTGCCTTTGGTTCCCACTATATTTTTCTTTAAATGTTATTCAACAGTCAAGTTCTGCATACTTATCTAACTGTCACACGAAACTAATCTCTTTCTGTCTGAGGCCCCAATTCTGGAGTAGATGAGAATGAGACCAGCTGCTGAGCATCTCATACCTGCTTCCTCAAAATAACCTCACATGCTAATGGGAAGGCGGGGCTGATGACAGGTGTATAAACACTGAAAGAAAACACAGAGCGTCACTACTACCCAGTAAAACAGGCAAGTGAGTAACACCCGCATGTACCCTCTGTTCTTTATGCTTTATCTTTAAAAGCTGACAAACTTTTTTTCGTTGTTCTTTACAGGTTGTGGGGAAAAATGAATGCCATCCAGGTGATTTCCCTCACTTTGCTGTCCATTGTGGCAGCCGGTGCTCAGTCTATAAAACCAGGGAGATGCCCCGTGCCTGCCGTCCAGGAGAAATTTGATGCTGCAAGGGTGAATACCAAACTCCTCACTCTGAGCTGTATTTTAATTTATCTTCATTAAGGTAAACTGGAATGTCCAGTGTGCACATCTGCCTCACAAACAAAACCAATTCAACTCCCTTTACAGTATCTTGGTAAATGGCATGAGATCCAGAAACTGTCGAACAGCTTCCAGAAGGGTCAGTGCAGCACTGCCACCTACAGCCTGCAAAGCCCAGGAGTCGTTGGTGTCCTCAACAAGGAGCTGCTGTGAGTACTTCAGTGCCTGAGAGCACTCAGGCACAGAGCTGAGTCTGTTAGTTTGCTCTGCTTTGTTCACTGATCCGTTATCCGAATAATGTTTGTACAAGTCAGAGTCTTTGTCCTGCACCATTTCTCTGGAATACATGTAAAAGATATAGATATGGATATATCCATGATGCTGTGTGTGGTGCTGGAAGAGCAGACAGATTTGTTATTGGAACTGTGTCCTCTCAGTCCTGCTCTTCAGTCTCTTCTGGGATTTAAAATATCATTCACAATAAATGGTTATTCCTCAAACTTCAGACTGCATGTGAAAAATATTTTAGGTGAGACACAGTTTAGGTTTTACCATAATGTATAACCAGTAAATGAATAAGTCTATAGAGAAGATGGATTCATCCTAAAATGAATCCAATCCATAAAGGTTTACCACTCAAGCTCAGTTTAAATGACTCTGTGGAGTCAGTGGTGTTTAATCGAGCCTTCTGCTTTTTTTCAGTTCTGTTTTAACACGATTCTCTCTTGATATTGTGTTTAATTGTTGTGCAGTGCTTTGCGACTTTCATGTCTGTGAAAAGCGCTACATAAATTAACTTAATAAAGAAACCCCCCCAGCCTAGTCTGATTGTTAATGGCTGTGGTGTTCTCTGACTACCAGCCCACCCTTTAAGGAAATGACAAATCACCTGCTGACTTGAGACCTGAGAACTTGAATTTTACAAACAAATAATACTAAATGTTGCTTTGACTCTGAACAGTCTGAATATAAAAAGTATTTTTCTAACGTTTAACTGTTTATCTGCTTAAGTCCTGACGGTACCATTGACAGCATCAACGGCACTGCCAAGGCTGCAAGTTCATCTGAGCCTGCCAAGCTGCTGGTCACCTTCTTTGAGAGTATGGACCCTTGTTTTTTGTTTTTACACACATATTAAACATTTTAAACTGGAGAGCTGAACTGTACAAAAATCCCTTTTACACAATTCCAGACACTCCCCCTTCCCCGTACTGGGTTCTGTCCACCGACTACGACAACTTCGCCCTGGTCTACAGCTGTACTGAAATCGAATCGTTACATGGGGAGTTCATCTGGATCCTGAGCAGAAATCCCAGCCTTCCTAAGGAAACCCTGGAGGAGCTGCAGAGCATCCTGTCCTCTTTTGGAGCCAGTGTGGAGAAGCTGCTTGACACCAATCAGGACAGAGATTACTGCAGAGTCATGCACGAGTAAACATGTGCTGTGGTTATCAGTGAATGTCTTCATGATAGGTCAATGCAAAAAAAAAAAAAAAAAATTGGGCCTATTGTCAGATATAATACAAGATTAATTAATATGCTAATATAATGTCTGCTTTAACTCAATATTTATATTGTTGCACCAATAAAAGTGGACCATTCTCATTGCATTCCTTTTGTTTACTGTCTCAATATACAGCTGCTGACACTGACACACAACTGAACCAACACACATCTTTAAGGACAGCTGCATTAGAGTGAATTAACTTTATTTGGGGTAACTTTATTTCACCTAATAAATACATTCATTTAAGGCAATTTTCTATTTTTAAAGTTGTGCTTTAGTGAAGCTGGGATCAAACTGGGGTACATTTGTTCTTGTGAGCCGGGGTGGAGTCAGTGACACACATCAAAAATGACAAAAAGGGATAAAAAGGATTTTAAGCGGTGGTCAGGGTGGAATTCTTACACATAATCAATGAAGTATTTAAAATTGGGCTTTAAGTGACTTTTCTCTCTTTTTTTAATTTCCTTCACCTTGTTCCATAGAATAGGTTTTTGCTTTTTTATGTCTAAATCTTTTAACTGTAGCTGCTCATTTGTTAGGTTTCATCCTCATCCTCTTTGCATTCACTGTTGCTTAATGGAGATGGAATTGGGCTTTTAAAAAAAAGTCTGTTTTCCTTCATGGAGCACTTTGTTTTTTAAGTGGCAATAAAAATAAAGTGTATCATTAAGTTTTATTAGGAAAAAAAAGACAAAAATCCCAACAAAAATGTCATGTGACTGACAGCTAACTTTGCAACTCTGAAATTAACCAGTGAAAGGAAGAAGGCTAAAAACATGCTTTTAAGAAGGAGTCTAGCCCCATCAGCAGTAAGTAAAGTTGAAAAGAAAAGTGCTGAAGGTGAAAGAGAAATTGGGACTTTTGTCTTCTGGGCATTGTTGGAATTTAAATCCTAGTTTTAGATTTTAAAAGGTGCAGATTGTGTTTGCAATGTCAAAATGGACAACATGAAATTTCTTTACACAGCTTTATTGTTGCATTGTCTTTGCATGCAATCATTGTGCCCCCTGCCTCACAGTCCTGTGGGCTGAAGTAGGAGCGTGCTTTAACTGGTTCACTGGTTAACTGGGCTGCAGTAAGTCTCGTCCTGGTTGGTGGGGACCATGTTTTCCACACTGACTCCGACAGAGTACAGGATGCCTTGGAGCTTCTCGAGGGTCTCCTTAGAGAGGGTGGGCTTCCTGCTCAGGATCCAGGACAGCTCCACACGGAACAGGCCGTAGTCGGTGCAGCCGTAGACCAGAGAGTGACCGTCATAGTCGGTGGACAGAACCCAGTAGGGGCCGGGAGGAGAGTCTGCAGGAGAGGTGAAAACAGCAGGGATATGTGGCTCACTTGAATCTGTCATGACTGAAATTGAAAGTCATTTATGACAACTTACTGTTGAAGGAGACCTCAAGCTTGGAAGGCTCAGCGGGGTTCTTGACTTTGGCAGAGCCGACGATGGCGTTAACGGTTCCATTATCGCTAATAAAATGAAACATGAAATAGAAATTAATTCTACTCGTGTACTGTCCTTCAATTATATATATTTTTTTCTACAAAATGCTCTCTTTGTAAAACTCTGGAACAGTACAAAGGTTCAGCCAGTGACCCTGCGTTCATGAGGCATGAGTTTTGTTCAGGGACGTTGAAAACATCTGAAGCAAAAACGTCTAGAACGAGGATTTAAAAAGCAGAAGCAAGCGGTTGTACGGTAATGCTGTTTTTAGTAGAATGAAGCGGTGGTGTCAGGAATAAAAAGCCCTCCGATTATTACAATTATGTCAAGGACCATGTGTCCTTCTGAGTTTATGCAGAAGTTTTCGTAAAAATTAAAACATTTTCAAAATGTCAAATCTAAACGGAAATATTTTAGCTGCTCACAGAAGCTCAGTGTTCAGGACCTCGATGACTCCAGGACTCAGCAGGGTGTAGTTAGCAGTGGCACACTGGCCTTTCTGGAAGCTTGTGGGCAACTTATGGATCTCATACCATTTTCCAATGTACTGCAGAAGAAGCACGAGATTCAGAGAGCCCATAATTAATATTTTGTGTTTGTAGGAAAAGCAGGTGTATAGATATCATCTGTATGTCCCACAACATAAACAGTAGAAGAGGAAAAAATTTAGTGTTCACCCTGTTGGCGTCAAAGTTGGCCTGAACAGGAGGCTGGGGACATTTGCCCAACCTCAAGACCTGAGCGCCGATCGCAACAACAGACAGTAGAGTCAATGCAACCACCTGTGCAGGCTTCATCTTCTCACCTCAACCTGCAGAGAATAAAAAACAAACAGCAAGAGTTCATGCTGGAGTTCACTGAACAAAACATGATGTGAGTGTCAGTTAGTGACAGAAAGAGCCAGAGATGTGAAAAGAATGAATAAATGTAGAGAAGAAACATGAAGAATCGCAGCCACTGACTGTTTATTTGCAGGTAATCAGCTGTGTGACAGAACTCAGCCTCTGAGGTTCTTTTAAAGATTCAAATGCTTGCATCACTTCATTATCGATCATGGGTCCCACCTCTGTGTCATGATAGGGGGCCAGTGTGAGAGCTGGCACCTGTTCAAATAAATACTCTGTTCAAACAGTAACAGGTTGGTCATGTAATCACATCGCTGTGTTTGTTGGATCTCTTGGATCACTGCTCCCTCCTTCACATGTATTTTTTCCTGAAAGACAGACAACAAATAGGAAGATAAACATAAAAATTGCTGCTTATTTGCACCTATAAATATTTAAAAAAAATTGATTCCCCAAAATGTGATCATAAAACCTAATTTCCTGCACATTTTACAGAAACAGAGACAACACAAGGCTGGACTTTAAACTGAGCCGTTATTTTAAACTTGATTTTACTTAACATGGTTTCATTTTTAAGTTCCTCAAATATATATATATTTCATATTTTTCTGCCTTCCTAATCTGTGAGGCACTTTAAAGACACTAACCTGCATGAAACTTTGTGCATATTAAGTAATGGAGGAAAGGACCCCAAATGCTGACTCACAGGTAGGCGGCAAAAGAAAACAAGCTTTTATTCAAGTCGAAGGAATAAACGTGGGGGAGCTGGGAGGTAGGGAACAAAGGATCCCTGACACAGGGTGACACACGGAGCAAACGGGTGGCAGACACAACGGGAACAAATCAGGGATAATGATACACAAGAAAGTAAAATTAAATAGAAAAAGCACGAGACTAAGGCTACAAAAATAAAACAGGAAGTGATTAAACAGGGGAACATCCTTGACTGAGTCTTGACAATACATGGGGAACACCAAGGAGGCAAGGTAAACTGAAAGAAGGAATATTATAAACAATAAACATAGCAACAAACTCAAGACAAAACAGTGATGAAGCCAAAAGTGTGCCCAGCGACTGTGACACAAAGAAAGTTTGACTTTTAGCTGTTTTAATTAAATCCAGACAAAAAAAGGCACAACCCTGTGGTTTGGTATGGAAAAGATCATGTCTGTGAAATTATTGTTTCTGACAGAAAACTGATGATAAACTTCTCCAGTTGAGGAGGAAACAGGCTGTCTGGCACTAAAAAACAAAAAAATGAAAAGAAAAAGAGAAAACTGATATCCAGGAAGTCATACTTGCTAACTGCAGCCCTGCACAACTGCAAATTCACAGGAAAGAGGAATGAGACACAGGAGACAGGGGGGCACAGTCCCTGCTCAAAATACAGTATATGTATTATTATGAGGGTGGCAGACAAAGGCATGGACCAGCAACAGCTCAAACGGTCATAAATGAGGAGACCGAGTGTGGTAACATGCAACAAGGAGAGGAAACACAATGAAGATTTGTATGAAAAGAACCAGTGATTCAAATTTATTTACACCCTTAAAGCGGAGCTAAATGTTTAGTGATAGAGTGGCTCTGTCCAGGCAGACATTTGTTTCATCTACTGAACTACATCTGACTGTGACAAAGTGGCTAGGACAGAATTCATTTGCCATTTGTCACTTGCATATATTGTTATTTTGTGTTCTGTTATTTTACAGTCAGCCATAATGCTTTAATTTAGACATTGCTGGTGTAACTTCTCACTATCCCAGGTTTTGTTTGTGGTAGCAGTAGTTACATCCTTTACATCCATGCGTGTGTTTTAAAGCAAACACTACTAACCATCAGATCATCTGAATTTTCTTCTGTTTACAGGCACATGTCTGGTAAATTATGTTTCTTTATGTTGCTTTGGTTATAGTTACCATGGTGTCCATGTTGTGTATTCAGGTCCTATATGTGAGACAGGTGTATGGGAAGGGCCTCCCACTACTTCCTGTTTATATAGGGTCATGAGGTCAGTGATTGCATCACTGGGTGTAACCAAATGGAGGGTTTTTCATTTTGTATAGTATTGTTTGTTTTCTTTAAAGTAGCCTTTTGAGTTATATTGTATGCAGTGTTTTACTTTACAAACCATTTAGTTGAGTAAATGAGTTTGTCAGTTTCATGCATGACTTTATTCCTGTTCTTTGTTTAGAATTGTATTATTTGGTTTGACCTATTTGTTTCAATGGTAGGGACTAACGAGGTCAGGTGTGGGCAAAGTCTTGTATAAAGCAAGTGGGATTTTTGCATGCCAGATTGATTGTTTTATGGTAAAATGGGGATGCCAGCAATAAAATATGCTGAAAAAGAACTTCAATCGTCTGCCAATGCTATTTACTTATCACCTTCCTTGCTGCTTAAGTTATGCTACATCACACTGACAGAGATTCTCTGGGATGTTATAAAACACATATCATCCTACTGAAACATGAAATGACCCAGACTCTAAAGAGGCTATTTTCAGGGAACCTGAGATGACGTGTAAGATGAAGAGTGTCTGTGTCCTCATCCTACATCAAACAGATTTTGCAGCCAGCGTCAGTCTTTCCACCTTCAGACAAAAGTGCAGCATGAGGTCGGTGCTTACTGCATCTCCTCTCGCCAAGCACAAACAGGTGTGTGAAAAACAC